AAATACCAAAGAGAACAAAGGTTCGAATACAATACGAGACCAAAAGGTCTAATCCTCAAATCCTAGAAAAAGAAAAATGGGAGGACACGCTTACAAGCGGCCTAGAACCAAATACAACCGAAAAATCCGAAGAATGTTAACAAGACCACTGCAGTAAGCCTAGCCTCCTAACAAACTATGAAAATATAATTTTTACTGAAAATATTGTAATTTTGTAAGCAATTAAAAATAGAATGTTGAATGCATAATGAGATTTTCCAACGATTATCTCTTAATTTCTAGAGTTAGAGAAAAATTAATTGAAATAAATTCCAAAAATATTTTGATTGGAAATAATTTAAAAAAAGACAACATATTTTTTTATATTTTTGTCAATTTAGTTGATTAATTAACAATTTTCATATACATCAAATCCCCATATATATAATTTTCGAATGCGCGGAGCCTACGTGGTTGCTTCTGGTGATTCGGAATCCTACTTGGCGAAGAATCATGCTTCGTAATTAGGTTTGAACAAATAATATTGATACATTAATAATTAATAATTTAGGTTCGTACATTCCATAAATATTATTTAGCTAACTTAGGTATTTTAATATCACTCGTACTAATATAACCCTTTAATTCTTTATAATTTTACATAGTGATCCTTAATTCTTTGTAATTTTACATAGTGAGACACTAAGTGACTAATATATCCCTAACTTTTGATTTGCTTCCTTTAATTGCTATTGAATTATAAATGTATTTTTAAAGTTGATAACTTTTGTATTTCTTATTGGTCTTACATATATAATCTATCAAATTAATCATCTATTGATGATCTTCGATTTGACATCGATATTGTATATATGAAATAAATAAATTATATTTATCTTTATAATAATAAAAAATAATAATTTTTATTAAAATTCATTAGAAAAATAAAATTATTTCTCAATTGATATATTTATGTTTAATGTAGTTATATGTTGTAAGTAAAAATATTATTATAATATAACATATGTAAGTCACAAAAATTAAAAGTGTCATACAAAATATATAATATTATATATTTTTATAAAATGTATTTACATTTTGAACTACTTTTTCTCATTAATTTTAGATTTTAAGAAAAAAATTAGCAAGCACCTGTGTACACAGGCGTTGTATTAGTATAAAACGATTTGAAATTTTTTATTGTCATCACAAGTTGTTTACATAAATCAAAAATTGTGACTTATTTGGCTTTTATATTATATATATATATATATATTGCAAGGTTATTAAAATATATTGGATTTAAATATGTTACCCATTATAATTCTCCAATTTATTACCTTTAGCAACGACCTATTAGTAAATTATAATTGTTTGTGTGGAAACTATAGGAGGATTTAGTTAATTATAATTGTTTGTATGGAAACTATAGGAGGATTTTGTTTTGAAAATTGACATAATATATGCTTGTGATATATACTTATTGCCAAACTGATATCTATATCAAATAAATAACACATTAGTTCTCATGTTTGTAATCATGACAAATTTCGAAAAAAAAAAAAGAAAAATTGTAAATGTTCCATGGCTATTATTTTCATATTCTTTATTAAGATATCATAATCTAGATAAGTTAAATTGTAAAAATTTGACGGTTATCTATCCATTTTATTTTGATGGGTAGATATTGTTGATTTGCCAAATTAATTTGTTATATATATTTATAATTTTTAATCACACGTTTTATTTATGTTTTTGTTTGGAAAATAACGATTCGTTCCACTTTCTTGCTGCATGGCTCACTCATGAGGGCTTTGACAATTTGGTGACGCATGTGTGGTCTAAGGGAGGCTCCTACGACACTTTGGCGACACGAATACCTATTGGTAGTCGAGATCACCTTCAGGAAATTCCTCAAATAAAAAAATCTAGGCAGTCAAATATCCAGCCTCCACTGAAGGCTACAAGACGGCGGCAACTGTCGGAGAAACCAGAAAGAGATGACCAAATCAGCAAATGGAAAGACAACGCGCAAGTGCTAACGTGTACTTTATCCACGTAAACCGGGTAGGACCGGATTGAGTTCCTCAAGCGAGGATGGTAACCAACCCACCAATCTGGAAGTCACTTCTGAAATTAATCATCTCCAATGATGCATCTAACTCCGTATTCGATGGAGGTCGAGAGATCAGGGTATTCCGGGAATACCTGGGTACGGAAAGTGGATGCACTCTTAGACGCTAGGCCTGGGGTCGGCTGCCTTAGCTGCAGAACGGTTTATATGTTCTACCTATCCAAGCGCTTACAGATCTGAGGACAGAAACGACTGGGGACCACCTAGCATGCCTATACTTCAAAGAACTATGGCTCCATACCTCCAAGGAATGGGCAACTTCAACTAATCAACAATAAACTATTTTGTATATTGCAAAGTGATGTGTATGCAGAAATAAATTAGGCAATTTTATTCATTTCAGCTCGCTCGTTTCATTGATTTAGAATCAATATTGTATAGGATTTAATTATGATTAAATATTGCAGATTTGGTTGCTCTTCAATTGAAAAGGTGATTTGGAGATCTTTGAAGATTTTTATTGTATTTAACCAAATTATGTATAGTAATTATATTTATTTATTTACTTTCCCATGTAATAGAAGTCATATTAATCAAATATCAGACAAATGCCATTAAATTGAGCCGCAATATACTTGGCATAAATATGAGAAACATTTTATACATGTTAGCCGCAATGTTTGACTTGTAATTCAAAGTTCAAGATATAACAGCCCGTTTTCAAAAGAATTCAAAAAACAATACTAATAAAAGTAAAAATGAATTATTTAGGATTGAATTCAGTTACTTTTTCAAGTAAATGTCAAACTTTTTTATATTTATATAGATTTATCTCATTACAATTAAAATCTAATACATTGAAATTATGGAAAAATATTATTTATTTTATCTATTTAGATTTTCTTACAATCACATACAAAAATAAAAATCAGATAAGCATAAATTTTTCATATTTTTTTAGGTTTTGTCTATATTCGTGTGTATTTATTTATTTTCTGGATAATTATGTCATAATTTCGGGAAGATAGGGCACTGGGCCCGGGATTGCAAGAATCCCAAGAAGGAGAAGAGGAAGGCGCACCTCGCGGGTGGACGACGAGGAGCCAGCTCTTCTCATGGCAACGACCTGCACGGTGCACGACGTCGAGCCAGAGTTGGAGGAAGTCAAGGCGACGACTACATAGCAGGGGAAGGCACTGCAGGCCGTTCACCTCGACGAGTCGAGTACACTGCTGCGGCAGGACAGAGGACACCTGTTAAGTTCGCCTCTCCTCCAAGCGACATCGACGATTATGTGGATGCCTTCCACGATGGTGAGGAAGCGAGGTTTCGCAGGATGGACAACCTCGTTGGCAACTCGGTTGTACCAGGCTTGGCAAGCCGATTACTCGACCGGAGCTGCTCTTCGTCAGCGCAGAAGAGCCACCGACATTCGCGCAGGCCGAGCGCGATGTCAGTTGGAGACGAGCTATGCTATAGGAGATGAAGGCGATCGAGGAAAATGAGACGTGGGAGCTCGTCGATCCACCCCCAAACTGTCATCCAATCGGGCTCAAATGGGTCTACAAGGTCAAGCGGGATGAGTGTGGCGCCATAGTCAAGCACAAGGCGCGCCTCGTTGCTCGCGGTTTCGTCCAGCGTGAGGGTGAGGAAGTTTTTGCACCAGTGGCGCGCATGGAGTCAGTTCGCCTACTGTTGGCTAGAGATGTTAAACGGTCCTTGGCCCGACGGGCCGGCCCGTTTAGCCCGGAAAAAAAACAGGGTTAGGGTTTTTTATTGGTAGCCCATTTAAATCAGGGTTTTTTAGGCCCGGACCGTTTAAACCGAAGCCCTTTAGGGCTAGCCCGAAACCCAATAGGGCTGACCCGTTTAACTTGAGTTGGGGGTTGTAAATATTTGCAGCATGTAATATACTCTTAGATTCATTGTATATTAAAATTTTGCTATTCCACTTCATATATAAGTATGAGCTGTAACGGATTATATTGATTTTGAAAGATAATTATTAACAATATTCTTAAATTTGGTTGTAATTACTAAAAACATCGCAAACTTAAATGTGAATACTAGTAACCTTACAAGAAAAAATATTGAATTTACACTGTGTAGTAACATAAAATAGAAAAATGTTAAAGAGGGTAAATAAAGAGTTTAAAGTAGAAGTAAATGAAATAAAGACATTGCACCACCCTTTCGCCTTTGACTATTGACCATACTAGTAAACATAAATAAAAGTAAAAAATGAAGAAAGAAGAAAAATAGAGAAGGTAGAACAGGAAAACAGAGATAAGGGAGAAGGAAAAGAAAGGAAAAAAACATGCATCACCGACCATCTTGGCGGCGAGATGGTGGCCGGAGTTCAGAGGAGGCCTGAAATGGATGGGTCAGCTGTGGGTCTCTACAATTTTCAAACATGAGAAGCCTAAGGAGTGCTTTCACATAAACCCTGTTATCTAGAACTGTAGTGGGTCTGGGAGATGAAGTGAAGAAAGAGCCTTCTAATTTTTTTCTCTTTTTGGTTAAAAAAAAAAAAAAGTACTGCACCTTTAATTTCTCTGAAAGGTGCTGAGGCGTGCCTTATAGGCGCCTATCGCCACGTGAAAAGGCGAGTCGAGGCGACTTGAAGCGAGCGCCTCGCGAACAGGGTCGCCTCAGGCAGTGGCGAAGCAGTGGCGAAGCGATGTAGCCCTTGCCTCGGTCGCCTCGCCTCGAGCGTAGCAATGGCGTCGCCATTTTAAACAATGCATACAGCAACACTTCCTAAAGCAATTGAAAGGTATAAACAATTGGAAATGCTTTTAACAGTTCATGGAATAAATGTTTATTGTTTCCTTATTGCACAAATTACCTTAGGTTGAGCAATACCAAGACTCTCGAACAATTCAAGATGTTTGATTGGAAGTTCAATCACCTGTAGGAGAGCAAGGAAATGAAGATCACAAATTTTATGAGGATAATAATAAAGATCCAGAATCCATGCGTGATGATAGATTCAAAAAGATACATATCAAACTAAGATCATAAGACACGTTTGATTTCCTTCAGAATTAGAATAAAGTCCTACAAATCTCTTGCAAAGGTTTTGATAAACAATGGAGGAGAGGAAGATATGGGACTGAATTGAAGCAAAATCTACCTTATAAGCTCCTATGACAGTGAAACTACATATCCTCAATAGCAAGAAGAGAGTTCAGAATAAATAAATCGTATTATTTTAATGTCCTGGTGCCACTTATCCACCACAACCATCTTTCTTAAGCATTCAATTCTACCTAATGAACACATTGCCTTACCAAAAAAAAAAAATACAAATGTCGATCCAGTTCTAATCCTCTAAGACCATGAACCAGCTGAAATTACATAAATAAAAGACAGTGACAAGACAAAACTTTGAATCCTAAATGAAATTACATTGGAATTATCTGTGCCGCAAAAGCACAAAGAAAAATGGGGGAATGCTTTGAACAATTTCCCACAAACAGCACATAATGTGAGCGATCCATTGGAAATTAGCAAGGAACTAAGGTAACAAGAAACAGAAAATCCCAGGATACACACCTCTTTTATCTCTTTAATTTGTTGGTCTAGACCACCAATCATGTCATAAGTGGAATCCGGAACTTTTTCTACTTTCATATGATTCACCAGCGGATCAACTTTACTAGGTAGGATCAAGTGGAGCACATAGCTATCATTACGTAAAGCAACCCTTGTTGAAGGCGTAATCTTTGTGATGTCTATGCTCGTATCAATGACAACTACATACTTCCCCTCAGGATGGACCTAAACAAAGATAGCACAAAAATTAAGTATTAGATAATAATAGGTAGACAAAAGCTTCTTTTACTAATATTGTTAAGTTAAGACAACGTGAAGATCATTGTCCGACATGACACATGAAGATGAAGATCTGACAAAGGAAACAAAAGTACAAGCTGAATAATTGCTTTCAGAAAATTTATACTCTTTTTTCCTCACACCCACCTATTCGTTGTAAGAAATTGGACCAGAATTAAACTTACTTTGTATCTTATAACTGTTAAGCCAGGTAAAGAACATGCACAGACATCACACCTTTGAAGAAGTCGAAAGATAAAAATAAAAGCAACTAATTCATACGAAAAGGTCCAGTTTCCTGAGAAGCTCCATTGAATAATACCACTCTAAATTCAATCCTCCTTAACAAACAGTAAATAAACCCCATTTCTTGAAATATGAAGACTGGGGAAAATAATAATCACAAAACTCTTCTCCAAATTTTCAATTTGTATTTTCCAGTCAGATAAAATGATAAAAGATCCCTCTTTTGGAAAAATAAGAGACAAAATAAGAACCAAAGACATTCCAAATTAAAATCTTGAATAAACACTAGCATCAATCTGCACCCATTCGTAAATATTTGATTGCTACATATAACATCAGAACTGAGAAAAGCAGGAAGAAAGAGAGTAATAAACTATATAAAATATAATGAACCCTCGTACAAAAGGATTGTGCTGCTGCAGAAGATATGAAACTAACCTTAACAAGTACCTTAGATTTTCCCATGACTTTGACAACTTCTCCCACATATGATCCAGGCTCCTGAAGAAGTTGCAACTCTTCCTTCACTGATCTCACTGTCATTAGGAAACAAATTGTTTTAGTTGGAGATATATTCCAACTACCACGTCCTAAACAAATCTATAATGCATAAAATCTTCTTTATATCAAACTTTTTTGTATCCATCTTTAACAAGCCAAGGTCTATCAATCCCACCTCAACAACAACCACATTAGGATAAGAATGTGGAGAGCCACGAAAAAAACAGCATGCTTAAATGAACATAAATAGTGAAATCTAGTCATGGCACATATATACCTACAATGGAGCTTCAAACTTCCAGTCTAAGGCTACTATGAGGTCCAAATCTTCATGAGTACTTGTTTTCAAATTTTGTTATTGTTGAACATAAACCAGACAGTCCAAAAAAAAATAAGCCAGATAACAACCCTAGTGTGGAAGAATAGGAAAAATTCTCCAAATCAACATCCAATGAAACAAGAAAACTAAATCATTTTCAAAAGAAAAAAAGAGGATCAACTAGCCAATGTAGGACAAAAATCCTATTCAAGATAAAATTATTGCCATACACCCATCTTTTCTTAAGTTTCACCATCAAAAGGAATATCTTGCCAACACTCAAAATCTAATTTCTATTCAGTCAATTTTGAAAGCTTGAAAAAAAATCCCACTCCAAAGCAAATTAACACCCAAAACATACAAGAAAATCATTACATAAACTACATAACAAGAAGAAGAAAAAAAAGCTGAAAAACTATTCCCCACGCCCTAGGGTTTCAGAAACGGCAACAAGTAAAGTCCAAATCCACAATTGAAACATACCTCCGGCATTTTGTCATTGCGTTGAGCTTCTAATCGCTGCTGATCGTGAATCTCCTGACGGACTAGTAGCTGCATCTCCTGTATGCGCTGCTGATAATACTGCCGGAGCCCTTCGCCGCCACCGGACACGGCGCCTTGCTGATGGATCTGCCTCGAGTCATCAGGCTTCCGAGTTTCCACCGCCGCCATCGCCATTCTGTATGAAAATACTTCCGAGTTTCGTCGCGGCCAAGTTATGCTGTTGTCCGGTTATCATTTTCTAGCATGGACTCTCCTATTTTTTTTGTTGGGAGTAATGTTACTTACCCAACTTGGATGACAACTTGGGTTACAATCCAAGTGTAAATGCATTATCAATAAATTAAAAAATAATGTATTTACACTTGAGTTGTAACTAAAGTTGTAATCCAAGTGGGCTTTATAGCATTACTCTTTTGTTGGATCTTAGGGTGTGATTGGATTAAAAAAATATTTTCTTTTTTATGTTTAGGTTTCAATTGAAACTAATATAAATCTCGTGGATGCGGGGTGAACAGTTTACAGACTATTTATTTAGTCTTATATTATTATATTTAGAAATAAACAAAATTAAATAAATTGAATAAAAACTTATTAAACACTTCTTTGTACATAATATCTTTATTTGTCTTTTAGACAAACCAATATAAATCTCGTCAGTTAATATAACGTAAAAATATATTATTGTCCGTAATAACATAAAAAATAATACGTTATTTCTAATATGAGTTACTTGCGATTAGATTATCATTACTAACTGCATTTAGATATGATGATCTGTTTCTAAATACTGCACATAAAATTTCAATAACAATCAATCAATCAAAATAAATGTTTATTTTCGAAAAAATAGAAAGGATAATTTCGAAAAAGCAAACTGATTAGATTTATAGATTTTAATTGATTGAGAACACAAAAGTTAGACTCTCAGATAATGAATCATTTTAAAATTGGGACGGGTGTCAATTCTTAATTGATTAAAAATATTTTTTATTTGTTTGAGGATATACGTTTCAATTTAGAATGATATTCTTTTCCTTAAAATCCATATTCCATCTCACGAATAGTTAATATATACACGGGAAAAATTCAAAATTAGTCCCACAGGTATAGGGGGTGACAATTTTGGTCTCGATGAAATGCAAAAAATATGAAATTAATCCCACAATTTTTAAAAAATGTTCAAAAGTAGGATTTTTTCGCCGAAATTACAATTTCCAGCCCGGAACGCCACGTGGCGCACACGTGGCTTATTTTTTTACACGCTGGCAACCGACGTAGATAGGAAAAAATTCAAAACTAGTCCCACAAATATAGGAGGTGACATTTTTGGTCCCGATGAAATGCAAAAAATTCAAAACTAGTCCCACAACTTGTAAAAAAATATGAACACGTCAGATGCCAGCATGTAAAAAAATAAGCCACGTGTGCGCCACATGGCGTTCCGGACCGGAAATAGTAAATCCGGCGAAAAAGTCCTACTATTGATCATTTTTTAAAAGTTGTGGGACTATTCATATTTTCTGCATTCTGTCGGGACCAAAATTGTCACACCCTATACGGGGAAATTCTATTATAGGGCCTCATTTTTAGGTATTGTGTCATTATAGGACCTCATTTTTTAACTTTTTTATTTGAGGGCTTGAATTTTAAGTTATTCTCCATCAAAGGCTTACTTTTACATTCTAATTCTCAATTTAAGACTCCAACTAATTTTATATTTTTACATAAATATATAATCCAAATACTATTATTTTAATATTTATATTTTAAATAATTATAAATGTCTTTAGTAAAATTACTTTAGTATATTTTTCTAAATAGTTTATTATTTAATTTTATCACATATTTAGATTAAATTAAGTTAAAATTTATTTTTTAACTTTTAAAATAACTTTCATTAAGCTTCTGTATAAATGTAAATTATGAAATAGTTATATTTTTAGGTAATTCCACTAAGATATT